ACAACACCAGTTATGAGAGGTTGTCTAATGGTATTATGTCTACGACGCACATGTCTAGACTTACCATTACACATATGACTCTGTACTCTCCCAATTGTGGCTTGACTATCGCAATGCACACATATTGGAGGTACAGGTCTTTCCCAATTCAGAATATCCTCTAGAAAATGGCGTAGCCATTCAGCTTCTTCACAACCTTTGTTCAAGGCTATCAGCTCAGATTCCATCATGGATCTAGCTATCACAGTTTGCTTAGAGGATTTCCATGCAACGGCTGCACCGGCTAGTGTAAACACGTAGCCACTCGTGGACTTAGAGTCCTTAATATCATATATCCAGTTCGCGTCGCTATACCCTTCAAGTACAGCGGGATATCTCCCATAGTGCAGTCCAAGGTCGCGAGTATACCTCAAGTATCTCATAACATTTACTATTTCCTTCCAGTGCATAGCACTGGGGTGACTCGTATATCTACTGAGTTTACTAACCGCAAAGGCAATATCCGACCTAGTACAGCTCATAAGATACATCAAACTACCAATAACTCGAGCATATTCCACTTGTGAAATACCTTCTCCGTGGTTCTTGGTTAGATGAATGTTTGTATCAAACGGTGTTCTAGCCAATTGATCATCATCCTTGTTAAATTTCCCAAGGATTTTGTCAATGTAATGTGATTGGCTCAACATGAGACCATCAGGTCTTCTAATGATTCTAATCCCAAGGATTAAATAAGGCAAACCCATATCTTTCATGTCAAATCTTGCATTTAACATGTTTTTGGTAGATCCTTTATTCTTGATCCTTTATCATTATCTCGTTGATTCTGTCTATTCTTTTGATCTTGTGGTCTATTGTGTACCGTTGAGTATATCTCTTGTATGGTTTGGTCTTGAGTCCATTCCTCGTGATTTTACTCATTAGAGTTGATTAGAGAGAGTTGATTAGAGATATACTTATGTATTCCCAAGTCTCAAAACTATTTTAGAGTATCAAATGTATCTTTACACATTGGAGTGGTGTTACTTAGCATTATCGCTAACGGTTATTTAAAATGATATCAGGTACAGATTAGGCAGTTCAAGAGCGCGCTAGGCTAGGTGGAGCACAAAGAGTTAACACGGCCTCCACTGAGTCCCGATCTCATGACCTTCCATATGGAAGAGTCACTACATGCCATCTGAGCACAAGGTGCTTGGCGTTAGACTCTTTTATCTAAATCTCTTAAGTTTTAATTGTTTAAAAGTATGCCTAGTTTTGGGGGTGTTACATTGCTATCAAGATGTTTTTGATGAGTGGGTTAAAGTAAGTTAAATGTAAACTAAATTAAGTTCAGTTGCTCTAGATTATTATTGATATGTTTACTTATCATTTTTTTTTCAGAGCCATCCTATTGCAATTGGATTAAGGAACAAATCATTCCCATATTTAGATGAGTTGATGATTGTTTGGGGAAATGATCATGCTTCAGGAGCTGGTGCAAAAACCCAGCTGATGTAGTGGAAGAAATAAACCAAAAAGAAGACAATGATGATGATTTTCAAGTGGATTGGGAATTTGGAGAAGTTGAATGATTTGGTTAGAATGGGGCAGAAAATAATGTTGATAAGGCTGACTTATCTTCCTGTCCCTCCACAAACACTGCCAATGTAAAAAAAAAAAAAAAAAAAAAAAAAAAAAAAAAAAAAAAAAAAAACAACATACTAGCAAGAAAAGATCAAGAAGTGATGATGGCTTTAATGACTTGGTGGCAGAGATCCATGATTTAATTTTGTGTGAATTGGTAGACTAACTATTATTACCTACTTTTCTTGACAAACAGTTGGTGTGCAACAACAAATGCAGATTATCAACCAGATAGTCAAACAGAGAAAACACTAGACAAAGAAAAGTGTGGAAAAGGTAAACAAGCAACACAAGATTTGGTTACCCAGTTCGATACAATTTGTATCTACATCTGGGGGACGATCACTGATCTGTCCAATCCACTAACCCAACTTCAAAGTACAAAGGTGGAGAAGTACAATCTCACCCGAGTTACAATACAAGGTAAGTACCCAATCTACCTTGAACTTAGTGGATTGTGAAGTTGGAGATCTACGCACTCAAAGGTCCACGAAAGTCCCTTCCATGGAGATCAGCCTCTGGTGCAGTCCGCTTCGTAACGGGATCCTTCACTGCATCCAACAGCTGTGTGATCTTGGTGTCCACTGGTTTAAGCTCAGAATGTTCTTCTCAAATTCATCAACTCAGATCACCATGAATAACCAGTCTTGAGAAGAGCTTTTACGAACCAGAGAGAGAACGTAATACTCAAGTGCTTTCTTCTTGATTCTAGAGTGTATCGGATGGATTCATTAGTCATTCAATGAATCAGCACTTTAGAATATATAGTTTCTGGTTCAAGGAGGTATCCGTTATCTATAACACCTAACTACTTCTTAGCAAGATTAAATAGATACCCCTTTGAGGTGAGAAGAGGACCAAGGTATTTCTTGTAAAAACACCTCAAGGCATAACTGCATTCTGCCAGCGCATACGCTCCTTAGACAATCAGTCTTCTTGTCAGCTTCTAGTCTTCACATAAGCTTCTGATGCATTCCCTGATCAATCAGGTCTTCATCTTCTAAACTCCAGACAAACTCTGACACGGCCTAACTACTTTGCCATAATAATAAAGCCAATTACAAAGTTGGGGTTTATCTATCTAACCAAAACACTAACACATTATTATGTGGGTGCATACAAACATGTGGCAACATATTTCCAGAATGATGCTAAGAACAACAGTAGTAAGATAGAGTTCATGAATGCTGGTGAACATATTCTGAAAAATGCACACAAGCTTGATACGTTATTTGCTTTACCAAAGGAGCTTAGGAGCCACTATGTGGTGAAACAACTATCTGAGATCAATGCATGATTTTCATGGTGGAGATGGTGTGTAGACTGCTTGTTGCCCTTGTAACCCTTTTTGTGTGAATTAATATGGATATGGGGCGGTTATTTGGTGTGCAGATAATAGATATGTTAATGTAAATTTTGTTGGATGGCCTGTAATCTGTATGTATATGGGGCTGTATATGTGGCTGTTATTTTGTTGGTGTTGGATGGATTGTAAAATGAAGTAGATTACAATTGTAATATTTTGCTACTTATTACAAATTATGTAACAAGTTGGGTTATAATTTTGGGTCAAAAGGTGGGTCAAGTTTGGGTAAAAATATAACATAATCAATATGGAAGCAGGTTTGGTTCATTTCGAAATCAAGTTTGGGTTAAAAATAAGGTTATCAGGTTCACAGGTTCATCATAGATAGACTTTTGGGTCAAGATTTTGGAAAATAGGTATATCCTTTAAATAAGCTTTTAAAACCATAAATAAATATATAAATAGTTTGTACCAAATCATTTGAAATAAAGAGTTTAAAATATTTTATTTATATACTCATTTGGAAAATCATCGTAGGAGTAAAAATTATATAAATAATTTTATTTTGAAATTTGATAAAATAGGAGTTTTTGAGAAAAATATTTTGGGGGTGTCGCAGGTTGGATATTCATTTCATTACCAAAATTAAATCTTTCATTGTTCATGTGGTTTTCAACTCTAAAATTCCGGACATGCTCGAATCTATCTCTTGGTTCATCATAAATACTATCATGATCCTCAGTATCATTAGAAGGGGGCATTAGTGGGTCTTACCTCAGGATCAACTGAAGTACCACGCTCAGTAGCTCGTCTAGATGTTTCTAGGGCGTCTAATACAGTGGGTCGAGTTTGAAGCTGTTGAAGTTGCCAAAGATTGGCCATGTTGGCCATCCATTGATGCATTTCCTTTTTGAGAGCATCCGGATCTGCTTTCATGCTCCCAACACTCTAAGCTATCTTCACTTCCGCAGTCTACTGACTATTTCTCATCTCCTTTCTCAAATTGTTCATGCTTTCAGTCACCTACCCTTCTACTGTTCTGAGAGCTTTTTCAAGGTCTTGCACTGTAACCATGGTGGATTTAAGCTCCTAACCTGCCAATGAACGCAAGCTCTGATACCACTTTGTAATGTTCCTGCTTTCCTTCCAGGATAAATAAGACTAACCCTAGTACCTTAGCAAGAAATGGGGGAAAAACAGACAGAAATGGAATTCTAGAAGAAATGGCGGAAATTGTAGAAGAAATGAAGAGAAAATAAGACATCAAAATTTAGTCAACAAACTTCTCTAAATACAAACACTAGAATATAAACTTAAAATAACGGCAAAACAATTTTAACAAACTCTTACACATGCGGATCATCTTACAGCACAACAGTAAATCCAACACAACAGCAACTATTTCAGATTAAATCTCAAAAAGCTACGTGTAATCCTTTCTCAGCTTATTTTTATAATATCATAAAGGTCCTTAGGGGCATGCCACAAGATTATCACCGTTGAAGAAGAGATAACGAAATTTGTTTAAAACAGTTATATTATTAGAATTTAAAAAGATTAATTGCTATTTTATTTTAAAATGATTGATTAATACACTTCAATGGCTTTAAAAAAATTATACACTTCTAATCTACAAAAACGTGCACTCAGATGTTAAAATTGCGCACTCGAAGACACAAAAATGTACACAAATTGTGCACTCAAATATCTAAAATTGTGCACTCTAAAATACAAAACTATGCACTCAAAGATCGAAAATATGTGTGTATTATGCATTATATATTTTTATTTGTTTATTTATTTTTATTTTAATAATTAATTATTCAATTATTTTTATTTCAATTCATATTTATTACTAAACAAATAGACTTTCTACTTAAATTCATTACCATTATCACCATTAATCGCCCCCTTAATCTTAATTTTTTAATCTTAATTTTTAAGTTGGGTTGTTTGTGTTCTTGATCTTGATTGTTCTGTCATTTTTGTAATCTTCTTCAGTCTTTTTATCACCTGTTTACATGCACACCACTACTACTGCAAACTAGCATGTACAACAACTGTAAACTTGACAAATATTAATTTCAGAACTCTTGAAAAAAAAGTGGAAATCGATACATTTCAACTTCTCTCATTCACTTGGATGGTCTATAAAACCATTACAAACCCTGTGGTCCTCAAACAACGACAGTGGCGTGTGACCTTAAATCTAAGCAACATAACAAATGAAAGAAGTGTTGAATGCATCTGGAATATGGAAGAGCAGCTATAACCAGTCTGCCTCCGAAGTGCGTATATTCAAAAGCTCCAAGATCGGCCTCATCGTAAGAGAATATGGTCTCAAGTCTCAACCACGTCCATCTCGACTTCTACACCTGATCAATGGGCTCTGTCCTGCCCTGCAAAGCAAGCCTCTCGGAAACATCGGCTAGAGATTTCAGATTGCACTTGATCAATGCTTCAACAAAGTAGCAGGTCTCATCTTTAGTGTTTCCTTCAGGCACATCTACCACAAATGATTCAATAACCAGAGTTCCGGGTCGTCCATCAATTACTTCTGGATGGACAGATATGACAGAGGAGTAGTTCTGAAAAAAAAAAAAAAAAAAAAAAAAAAAAAAGATAAAAATAAAGTGCAGAAAGACATACCAAGGACAAATAGCTAAAATAACAGTTTAGTTGGTAAACCACTATGATTTACCCACTAATTCCGCGAGGTAATATATATATTGATCTGGGATTCCCTACTTTAATGCACACAATCATCCATCCAATATAAAGGATTGAAATAACTAAGTGTGCAGATACATTTGGTACATGGTAATTCAGACGTTGGCCCAACCTCCGCATCCTGATCCACAATACTTGCTAGTGAATTAAACAGGAAGGGAGAGTGTACTCAAGCTCAGCAAATGCAGTTTGGGGATGCCATTGATGTCCAAAGTCCAACCTCTACTTAAAATTTCAGATTATGAAGTTGATTCATTCTCTAAGTATAATATGAAGCCACATTTCTAATAATAACTATTATATGTTTCGAATTTCAGTAGATATTTGATGAAAAGACATTACTCCATAGAAACAACAGATAAAACATTGGGGTTAACCCCTGCCAAAATGGCTAAGGATAAAACTTGTAACCACAAGGTCACGAGTTCGAATCCCAACCTTCTTGGTTACACTGGTTGCGAGTTTCTCTCGTCACCCAAAAACAGATAGATCATTACTTCTATACCCAAATATACCACGAGTAACTCAAATAGAATCACCATGTGTCCTATATAATGTTAGAGGCAAAAATCCAAAAATTGTGCTAAAAACCTTTTCCAATAGAAACCATTCATGTGAGGAGAAGAGATAGTAAAAGAGGAATAAGTTGGTTGCATACCCTAAGTCTGTGATCTCCCCCAACAATCTTCACGCTGAGGATATGTTCATCATCATCCAGAAGTTCTAACCTTTCCGTGCTTGTTGTGGCAGGAAGGCCTGATTTGACATCAACTTCTCTAAGACTACCAATCTCAAGGTTTCCCTGTGCTATGCACCGGCTGACAAAGGGCTTGTACTTCTGTGGTTCATCAAACCTCCGAACCAATGACCAAACCTGTTAAAAAGAAGAACATAACAATTTTAGAAATATGAGACAGTAACCATGATGGAATAAGTTCTAGTCTTGAAATCAATATAATCTCAAGCATTTAATCATGCTATTTCCAATTATAATATACTACTTGCATCAGGTGAATTCAATTTATTATAAGCTATCAATCTAAACACTCCTGACAATCAACTCTGGGATTAACTAAATTAATAAAAATCATCTACTGAGCAAAAGGTCAAATGGAGAAAACTTCAGGTTTCAGTTCTTTAATTTGCTCCTTTTCCTTCCCAGCTAATCACAAATTTGGCAATCTTGAGGAAATCAATCAAATATATCAATATCTCATTGACTCATCCCACAAAAAAAGCAATCAATCATATTGAAAGATAGGAACAAATCAAAGGTCTGAAATCACAATCTCAAAGGAATAAAATGAAATCTTCCCAAAAATAAAGATGAAATGTTCCAAGAACGATCCGACCTTAACTATCAATCTCAACGACATTCATTATCAATAAATCGATCTATTACAAAATCAAAAACGCACAAGGGAAAATACTAAGCACATATAAAAATATCACAGAGATAAGAAAACGAACGAGATGAACAGGCGCTCTAATGTGCTTGATCAGAAACGAACTGCATTGATTCCCCGCCGGCTCTTGCCTATGATGTTTCCTTATGTACTCTCTTTCAACACTGCTGTATCCGTTCGCGTTCATCGTTGCTTCTCTCTCTCTATTCAATACCACTCCTCCGAATCCGTTTCTCAAGGACAGACAACCAACGGCTCTCTCCTCCGGTCACCGTAGAAATGTTCCGACCACCGGAGTTTGAGCCGCTCGAATCTTTCAAGATGCTGCGGAAACAGATTAAGATGGTTCGCGAGTTGACTCACTTGCCTTTAAAACTCGCCACTGCCATAGCTAAAAGAGAACTCCATCTAGATATTTACCGTTTATTTATTTACTTCTGCCATGAAATTTACAATACAGTTCATATATAAATAATAAATATTCTATTTTTCTTTATCTACAGCCTACAAACCTAATGAGAGGCGAATCTAATACTTCTTAATTATTTATTGAAATGAATGATTAATATCATTTTGATTTTAGTATTTTTCATTATTTTTTTTTATTTTACCATTTATTATATCATTTATTTTTCTTAAATACTCATGCATTTGAGGTGTAAACTTTAAGAAATGAAATATTCAATTAATTATTTATTATTGTTAATTTACTCATCAATTTTTATAAAGAAGGTCTTAGGTTCGAACCTTCCCAGGCAAGATTTACATAATTATTAAGCATATATTATGAATATGTTTGCGTGTTAAAAATACAAAATAAAATTTAACATGAACTTTGGTCAATTAATTAGAATCACGTATTGGGCATTAATGAAATGGTACACCTAATTTAGAGTATATATATTCAACATAGATGAGGAACTATGCCTATTATCATTGTTTTTTTTTGGGAAGGAAGATTTGGTCACGTTTTTTAAGGTGCACTGTGCCAACAAGGCACTAAATTAAAATTGCAGTGAAGCACACCAAGAGACCAGATCAAATCAAGAATTCATTTATGGTGGAACTGGCAACAAGAAGAAGCATAAATCATGCCAATTAATAGGGTTTTGTGTTGTAAAAATTGTGCTTGAGTATTATTCAGTGAGGGTGTTTCCCTCTAAAACGTACTGCTATTACAACCACTCAATCCAACATTTATGCACAAGTCATTGTTATACATTCTTAAAATATTTATTTTATAAAAAATTTGATAATTTTGCATTCATATAAGTCATAGTTATGTTAGCTAGCTTTATGGATATGAAGTGGTGGGCTGAAGAAATGGTGTTTTGGGTGGTGACCGGACCGGAGATGGTGGCGGCAATCACCGTCGATAGGGAGGAAAAATAGAAAGATTGGATCGTTTGGCTAACTGATACCAGATGAGATTGTAGAAACCTATTCAGTTACAATGAGATAAGAAATTACAATAAAAATAAAAAAATAAAAAAAAGGTTAACGAATAGGCTAGTCACACAGACTATCCTCCTGCTACCACACAATTATTAAATATTATATAATTACTAACAATAATACCGAATAATAATTTGATAAATTCTGAAACACTAATTTAAAAATATACATTGGACATTAAACTATTCACGCAATGCGCGTGATAACTAGTATATATATATATATATATAGGATGGGTAGGGTTCTCATATATATATATATATATATATATATATATATATATATATATATATATAGGATGGGTAAGGTTCCAATGAGAACGTGAGAACAAATCGTGTGCATCCATCTAATATCTGTTTGGTATAATTTCTTCTCAAAAAGCTAATTAGAAAAGTTACTTTGAGCAACTTTTGAATATTAGCATTTTAGTGTTACAAAAAGCTGATCAAACAATTCTAAAATTTTGATAGCTTAATTGTGATTTTTGAAAATATTTAAAAGTTTAGTTAACCCTTACGTCATACATTTCTCACAATTGGTGTAATTCAGACGTTAAGTAAAGCAAAAATATAAGAATAGTGTATTCACAAATTTAAAAAATTCAACTAAACAAAAGTAATTTACATTAATACATTCATATCCAATAGACCCTTAAAACACATCCTGAGTTTTAAACATGATAACCAAAAAGCAAAGAAAAACAGAGAATAAAATATAGCAGCTGAGGCACAAAAACTTTCGCCCACAGCTGAAGATTTACCAACTATATATATAAATATAAATATACATATACTGCTAAACTATTTTTTCTCTATGAGAATATTTATACAAGGCGGATTTCAAAAAACAAAAGCACCTTGTATAAACTTCTTCTCATTCCTCCTTCTTGTATTCCCTCCTTCACATATATTTATATATACAGAAAGTAAGTCAAGCCAATGCAAGCTGCACGAAGAAGAAAGTGATCTCATGGAGAAGTTATCGCATTGATCTTGCCCCATCTTGCTAACCGGTTCAGAAACGATAACACTTCTAACGGATCGCGAAGCGAGTAAGAAGCCATAGTCTCCTTTGCGACAGAGGAGACTATTATAGGGCAACCCTGCGCTCTACTCTTGAGTACCTTGAGATAAGGTTAACAATATTATTAGCAAATCATGTTCCATATATTGAGAGTATGAAAGGGGGTGGCGTCGGATGATACCTTAAAAGCGTCTTCATCAGTCTTGTCATCTCCAATGTAAAAGGGGAAGACATTGCTGCTGGAGTCAGAAAAGCCGAGAGCTTCGAGCAAGTAGAGCAGCGCGTGGCCTTTGTTCCACTTGATCGATGGCCGGATCTCCAGGACCTTCTTCCCTATTGTCACATGAAACTTTGGGTAGTTGGAGAGTATGGCATGGACTTTCTTCTCTAGTAATGCATAGTCCTTTTCCAAGACTTGCCGATAATGCACTGAGATACAGAACCTATTGTCCTCTATGAATGCTCCCTTTACATCACAAGTTGCCTCTCTTAGCTCACCTAACATCTGTATGTGATGTAAAACAACAACTTTATACACTAAATAGTGCCCTCACAAATCACAATCAAATTTGTATTCTACAAAACAACATGATATTTATGTATATAATCTTACCTTCTCTATTAAAGGCAAAAAATCATGAGCAGGCTGGAAAACTGAAATTTCATTCCCCTACAATATTTAACAAACCGATTTACTATGTCAATTTCTGAATCAGCCAAAAAATCACATACCCAGTTTTTTTTTCCTGAAAAAAACTATGCAAGAACCCCTGTTGGGGTTGCTCTAAGTAATATAAAACCAACCTTTTTATCAACTGTTCTGGTCTGGTATTTAGCATCATAAGACTTAACTTGCGTTGCAGGTCCCATAATATCCATTCCATGGCTGCCAGCATAATACACCTCATCTAACTCCACAAATCCAAACACCTGAAATATCCACAAACAAACTTACTATTTCATTTTTTTTACAGAGTATTTATTAGTATTATATATTTTTCAACATGAAAGTTTAAATACCTTGTCTCTGCCTCTTCCGCTTATAATAGCTGTCGGGAAGTGTCTGGCAACATCGTGCACGGCTGAGCGCATCTGCACAGCATAAGTGTCAAAACAGATCAAGGGTCTGAATATTTAAATGCCAAATAATTTTTTTTTTTTTTAAATCAAGTATAGGCAACCTATATGTAATCAAATATGTGTGGTTTAAGATTTTTACCGGAGCAGACATGAAGGCCTTGTCAGGGTCACTAACAATTGGCGACAGAGTTCCATCGTAATCCAAAAACACAACAATCTGTTTTCCCTTTGCTGCGCTCATAATCCCATTAAACGAGCTCAGAGCAGAAGGGTGTTTTTGCTGAAAGAAACCAAGTTGAAAGTGCTGAGAATAAATTTAAGACAACCTTTCAAAATTCTTCTCCTCCAAACTAGGTCGGTGCACAGTTTGTAAAATTAAAATTTATATTATTGTGGGAGAATGTAAATAGTAAAGAAAAGTACTAAAAAATTTTTCAAAAGAATTTATTTTATTTTAATTTTAATGTAAACAATGTGTTTAATTTTCTTAAATACTTTTATAATTTTTTTAATTTAAAATTATTCTTAATGTAATTTTTAACACTAATATTAAATTAATTTAAGAAAAAATAGATTTAATAACAGTCCCATATTAGACAGAAAAATACTTCATCCTTGGGAGACCGAATCGATCTGCCATGATGGTTCAGCCTTGGAGGCCGAAAGATAACAGCAAGTGCCAAAGCTCTCGTGATGAGTTCTGAGTTCTGAGTTCGGCCTTGGGCCAAAACTCATGGTTTAGACTAGAGGCCGAAACAAGAGCTGATGGTTCGGCCTTGGGAGGCCGAATCTAAAACTAAGTGGAACAGAAAGAGCCAATAATGGTTCTGACCGTAATGAAGATTAAATTCCTCTATTACGAAATTAATCCTATATTAATTCAGACTCCTAAAAACTTACTCCCATTGCTATATGAACCTGGTCCATGTATAATGTGCTTAAAATATATGACAAAGCAAAAATGTCTGGGAGTGGAAACTAACCAACCAAGAATTGCATTTGGGGTCTCCAATAATGGGCTCAATTGATAAAGGATGAATAGGCTCCTCTTCAGAATATTCACTGGGGTGATACTTGTCATACTTGACTTTCGCGAAGGCCTCAATATTGTGGGCTTTGGCAAGCCACTTTGGCAATCCAACAAGCTTGTAAAACCTTGGAATGTTGTCCCTCATTTTTCCTACTCAATAATAAAGAGTACTAAATGTAAGAAAATTTTCTTCCTTGTAAAATCAATAAAAATAAAAATAAAAATTTATAACGCCCAAAATTATTCATAAATTTTAATCCTCAAAAATCTAAAAAGTATAGGTTTGAAATGTCAAATGATGTTTTTTCTTACATTATTCTCTCCTTAACGAATTATACAGATCTTTTAGTTCACACAATCGCACAGCTAGGCTATTGAAACCAAATGGAAAGGATATTCTAAAAAAAAGTTTAAATGTGCCCTCTCAACAAATAACCAATTGATCACTTAAAAAATAAAAACAAACAAACATACATGTATATACCAAATATGCAAATATAAAAGAAGGGTGGGGTCAAGATATCATTATATATTAACATGTAGAAATAGTTTCACATGTGTAGTTAAATGATTAATACGGATTCCTCCAGGAACATAAGATGCAAATAATAATAAAGTAAACACGGACAATAATGGAAGAAACACTAAATTTGATTTGATAAGAAGTGACAATGAAATGGAATAATAAAAAATTATTTAAGTCGACCTCGATGACTCAAGAATGCATGGCCACTTAAAAAAGAAGTATGTCCGCTAGCTTTTATTCAATTCGCTGCTATCTGGTGCAGTCTCCATCAAAACACCGACAAGGACCAGCGATTTTTAA